AGGCATGATGGCACTGATGTGGGAAGGACTCTGGGCCCCTGCTAGGACAGCTGGCTGCAGAAATCCAGGTAGTGAAATAGCAAAGTCAAACATTTCCAGTCTCTGGGAAATCAAACCACAACAGGAATCCACCATCATTTAAAAAAAAAAATATAAAAAAATCATGCTTGCCCATAACTACCCTGTGCCAGTGGTTGGGCAGCACGTTTGGAGTCAGACTGTAATTTCTGCGTTATATTACAGACTTCAAATAGCATGACAGCTGAATTCTGGAGAGAAGGAACGCTGCTCTCCTTTGGGGACAAACAGCCCCTAGTGTTGCAGTCTCAGTCTTCAGGTGTCAGGAAAAATTCACAGACGGAAAATACAATAAATTACTTAAAAACCATGCTAGAGTAGCTCAGAAATAGCATATACAGGAGAATCAGAAAGGGCATTTCACATAAGATCTAACATACCATTTTTATGGAGCTCTGTTTTGTTGTAGCATAACATTGAAGAAAAAGCCTCTTGGGCTGCTCCTGACTTCCCCCTTACTTCTTTGTTTTCAATCAAAGAGAGGAAAATCCAATCAAATTTGGGAAAAAACCCCTTTGCCTCTCATGTTCCAATACAAGCCAGTTTAATATAGAAAATACCATAATCAGACTGACCAACTTTATTCTCCCACAGAGAAAATAAATCCTCGATATTTTTTCTTTAGAGAAAAACACACTGGCTTTTTTGTTTAAGAGACATTAAGTACTGGAAAAGGGTAGATTGCACAAAGCTCTAACCTATATTCCAAAGATGATTTGGTTCCTTGGTTGTGCTGGTTTTACCATTTCAGGTCAACCAAGATTTGTCAGGCTATACAGATGTCTTCCTATTTTGATGACATCTAAATTTAGAGGGTGCAGATAACGATCATTAGCAGTAACACGTGGTGCTGACAAGGGGCAAGCAGCACTCCTTTACTCTTCAACAGGAACATATCAACTATGGATCCTGATACTGTAAATAAAATCGATGGCCTCACTTTATCTCCAAGTGAACCCCCAGAACAGGAGGTGCTAGACAGATCACAGCCCAGTTCTTTTATTATCATAGGTGAAAAATACTTTTTTTGCTGATAACTTGCACATTAACATCAGGAAGACTCAAAGCTTCCTTGGAAGCATACTATTCCTGGCTTACTGAAACCAATACTTTTTTTATTTTTAACTGAGTGTTAAAAATATTTCAAAAAGAACTGCCTAGCGAGCTTAGAACACCTGGACCAGATATTCTGCCCTGCTGTAACACAGTCTATCTAGGGCCGCCTCAGAAGGTCACTCGTCCTTCAACTACTGTCACCACCTTAAAAATGGGAGAGAGTCATATCACCAAATAAAGTTGATGCCTTGTCATGCCCGGGCACTGGCTTTCTACTCCCAGGTGGAAGGTGGGATGTTAGGATGAAATTTAAAGGATCAGAGCGACTACACCCAGCTATGAACTCAGGAGTAAAAGGCAAATGGATAGAAGCATCGAGCGCTGGACTTTTAACTCAGAAACATGCAACTGCACTGAATTTCACAGGGTGAAATAACAAAAATAACAGTGCTGGGAACTGCAAAAAAGCAAACAGTGTATGACTTCATAGAATCATAGAATTGTCAGGGTTGGAAGAGACCTTAAAGATCATCTAGTTCCAACCCCCCTGCCATGGGCAGGGACATCCCCCACTAGATCAGGCTGCCCAGAGCCCCATCCAGCCTGGCCTTAAAAACTTCCAGGGATGGGGCTTCCACCCCGTCTCTGGGCAACCTGTGCCAGGGTCTCACCACCCTCATGGGGAAGAACTTCTTCCTAATGTCCAATCTGAACCGATCCATCTCTAGCTTCAATCCATTCCCTCTAGTCCTGTCACTACCCAACATCCAGCTTCTTGTAGCCCCCTTGAGATACTGGAAGGCCGTCACAAACCGCATTGCCTTAAAAGAACACCTTTCAGAATTTCCCTTCACAGAAGGTCAAAACTAACAAATCCTGCTAAGGTTTTTTAAACTAAACCCTTCAGATACTTTCAAGGTACGTCATTACGTATTTCACAATTCAGAACTCACAACTAGGAAATGAAAATTGTGTGTCTTTATTGATAGTCTGCCACAAATCACTGTATAAACTTCGAGTTAGCCAAAAACGTATCTGCTGCGTGGAAAGGTCCTGCCTGAACGCTGCAAGCATATCTGCAAAAAGGGGAGGCTTTCTTACAGAAGGTAATAATGGATGTTCTGTTACCAGCTCCAACATAGGGCACCATATGCAATTAAAGTGCGGTTTTATACAAACTGCGTGAGGCTCCGTAGAGCCACTATCTCGTCATTACTGCAAACACAGAGAGATATCTAGGTTAATGGGAAGCCTTCACTGACTTCGATGGGACGCCTCTGTCTCTTGTTTGCAGGACTGGAGCTTATGACTACAAAAGCAGCGACAAGGGGGGAGAGCACAGA